TCCTGCTCCTCATGGAGCTCCGCTCCCAGGCCTCACTGGGCGAGGCTTTCTCCCTCCAGAGAAAAGTCTAACCTGCTGTCACTCTACTCTGTTGGGGCTGACGGCATGCTGCCTTGGCGGTCGGTTCGTTGTCCACCCATCTACCTCCCTTCTCTGCCCCTAAAGGCATGCGTTTCTTAAGAGCAAGACGCAGTGACTGTAACTGACCATGGTCACCCCGCAGTGGGTGGTCCAATGCAGATCCACCCAAAGCACTTCCTGCTTGAGTACACAGGTCATTTCCCTACCAGACTTCAGCAACAAGCACACACCTGACACTGCAGGAGAGACCGGGCTTAGTCTTGAGCAAGAACTTCCTGAAAACGAGGTTCAAGCAAAGGAACCGGACACTCCTTGGGATGACAGGACGGAGGCAGCAGAGGAAGGTGAACGGCCAGACACACCTGCTGTGCACCCCGGCTAACCCCGGGACAGGGGCTGGAAGGGCGCATGGGCAGTGGACCAGCCAATAAGGAGCCAGGCTCTTTGGAGCAGGGATCTCCACCTGGCGAGGCTGCCGGCCTTGGCTCAGAGTCCATGGGGAGCCTGAGGCTGGTCGAGCTGATGGGAATGTTGCGCAAGGAACACTCCCCGCAGGTACAGAGGAGACCTGGGCGGTACAAGGTCAGGCCTCCAGCATGACGGGGCTGTCATGAGGAAGAGAAGACGCAGAATCATACTGTGGGGCTCCAGACTGCAGATCGGAGGTTAAATGGGGGCAAGGCAGTGTCCCTTTGAAGGGGGCACCTTCTCTGGATGGGGGCTGCCCCAGGGGGTAGTGAGGGGCCTTCACTAGAGGGCTGGAGGTGAGCAAGCAGAGCCCCAATTCCCCCTCCCCATCCCCCCCCCATAGGGATGTGGCAGTCCTGTGAGGAAGCTGGACTGCAGCAGCCCTGAGGCCCTTTCAAACTCTCGAACTCTACAGAGCCCCCAGTGCTAAGACGGAGGTACTTTCCCTTGTGGCAGAGTCTCAGCCGGGATCCAGGCCAGCTCCTGGAAGCCAGGTGGGCCAGCCCCTCCATGCCCCCTGGCCTTCCAGGGGGAGTTCACCCTCCCCGGTCAGAGCCGGGCTGCCATCCCCACCCCCAACTCCTAGAGGCCCAGACAAGACCCAGGTGCAGCCTGTCTAGGGCACCAAGGGCTCTCAGGGGCCCAGTCACAGTCATCGGAGACACAGGGACACCTAGTGGGAAAGAGGAAGTGTCCTCCCGCCTCAGAGGACGGAGCTGAGAGGGGCCCAGTTCTCACCACACTCTGAGCTTCCCAGCCCCCAGCTCCTCTGGTCTTCAATGCCCACCCACAAGCAGGGGGCAGGCCTGCCTCTCTTCCCCCAGCTGATCACCACCCCTCAGCCTCTTCGCAGCCCCTCCCGGACGGCAAGGCCTCGGAGAAGGAAAGAGGAAAGAAGGCAGGATTCCCAAGCTCCGTGAGACTCCCTGCTCCGAACCCCAGCTCCCCCCAGCTCCCGACAGGGCCAGGGATGGAGGTCCACTGCTGGCCCCTTGACTCCATAGGCCCGTCTGCTACCCCCATCGGTGGCCAGGTTCAGCCCCCGATGCCAAGGTCCCCTACCTGCACCCGAAGGGCCCGGCTCGGCCTCCTGGTCAGTTTGGCAATCAC